TATGTGACATATTATGAGGACTAGGGTGTCAGAATTTTTTCTTCCTTTTCAGACCCTAGTTATACAACTTCTAAGACATATCCTATGATGCAAGCCTCTTCCATGCACAACTGTAAACATGCTGAAGCAAAGAGAGGCAATGTATTATTTCATTTCAGTGAACCTGTGACCATTTAACAGGTTGAAAGATCTCAAACATCAAAGTCAGTACGTGAGCACTGTTACCTCCTTCTTGATTGCACTGTCAGGCAAGTCATGAAAAATGGTACTCTGTGATTGGCCACAGCCAGTCACAACAAGGATTTTTGACTCTGTGGCTGCCTAATCTGACTTAATGAACATCTCAAAAGAGAAAAAATATAGTCTCTGATCCTAACATGAGACCAGTAAGAAAAGAGAGGAGGGTGTAAAGAGAAGGCGGGAAATATAAATAAAGAGAACGATCAGGTCGGTCAGTGAGGCTCACTTTCTGTCACCTCCAGTTGTGTGCAGCCACTCTGAGGTTCAGTGTTGTCAGTGCAGATTTTGACAATCACTTTTTTTTTTTTTCATTTTTGTTGTAGAACAAATTTGAAATTACAAAAATCTCTCTTGTCAGGGTCACTAAATGGTTGTGAGCGGACCGTTGTGAGAGGGTTGAAATGTTCATTGAGCAGCGTTGGATGTCACTGAACTGTGTGTAACACCAGCAGCATGAGTGCTGCTGGTGTTACACACAGTGCTGCTTCCTTTTCTGTAAGACTGACTTCACTACCAGTTGTCACTGATTTCAGTTTGCAGTCACATTAAATAATAAATAATAGCAGTCACTGAATTAATTAGATACTAGTGAGTTGAACCTGCTTGGTTGGTTTCAAATGACTTTTTTGCTTTGACTCATTCTGGTTGTGTTGCTTGCTAACAAACAAAGGGCTGGTTTTAGACTGGACACAGTGTAACAGGAACCAGTGGGCCTCAGTAATATGAATATCATATGTCACACCACACACGTCACTGTATCTCTGATGTCTGTTACAGTACAGCTACATCCTTGCAGACCTCTGTAGTCGTCTCATATGTACAGTCCATAGTTTGAAGTGAACATAACGTATCTTTATCAGCTTGATCAGAGGCGATGTGGAGCTGACAGCCATTTGCTGTGGTTAACCAGCATGCTTGCCAGTCATTGCAGTAACACACACGTTAAGTTAAAACCTGAAGTCCTTGATACCCTGCAAAAATATTCTCTAAGTTTTTCCACTTGATGGCGCTGCAAAAACCTTATTCTAATATTTTACGCCTGTACTAAACAAGGATGTGTGGTAAGTTCATTGTCCACGTCATAAATTTCCACCCCAGATCTGACATACAGAGACGGTGTCTTTTAATCAATCAATTAACTTCTTGGAAAAAAGAACTGACTGCCTGATCGAGCCACTTCTGCTCTTAATGAACAGGGTGATCAAGACCGGATCCAACAAGTGCACTTTAGCATTCACTAGTTGAACTTCCTCTAGGTCAACCACGTAACACAAATACATCACAGCCGCTTTTGCAAACTCACATTTGGCCTGGTTGACTTTCAGCCATGTGAAATACAAACTCAAGATTATCTCTCCCAGGTGCTACTATAAATGACTGCATCGTGCAGATGCACAATGCAACCAAGCACAACCTGACCCATCAGCTGCAGCAATAGAGTATGATATGGATGGCAGGGATTCCCAGTAAGTTTGCCACTGTTTTAATCATGGCAGTGCTGATAATCAAGGTGTTAGTTTAAGTTAAACACGTGGTGAAGATTAACATCACTGAACCGCTGTGCATCCCCCCCACCCCCCCACCCCCAACTCTCCCCACACAAGGGCCGCTGGCAGACTGACTGGGCATCCATGCCATCCATATCATACTCTATTGCATGTTGAGGAATCTGAAGGAAAAGAAGGATAACATTGGACTGATCAGTTCATTCCTCTTTCTGTAACTAAAAGTCTCCAAACAATATCTGCATCTTATAGACGACTGTTTTACCATTAACACCCTCTTAGCAAACTTACGCCTCTAAAGATGAACATGACACACCTGACTAGATGTTTTTTTTCTACTTGGTGTCTCTATAAGATAGATCAGGTAAATTACTGAATCACACTGAAAAAAAAACTAGAATTTGGCCTTAAGAAAACCCTCTAAGACTATATTTACTACCTGTAACATGATGATCATATCACTTTTCCTCTTTGCTTCTCTGGCTGCATGAAGCCTGCCTACACCCATGGTAACATGTTGCTGAGAGCAGGCGACTGTATACTGTATCTGACGCAGTCTCTGTTTACCTTCAATTTTCAGTCTGATGGCGCCAATGAGCTGCAGCAGCAGGACAACCTGCTCTTTGGTTGGTTTCATATTCTAACTTTAGTGGTGGTGATTTTAACACTTCACTATTTAAGCATCTGCACACAGTGGTTAGAGGTTCTGCAACCAGAATTAGACTTGTGTTGCTGTGCTGGTCATTGTAAATTACAGCTGAGCTCACGCCACACAAAGCTGCTAAAAGCTGGGATGTGATAATGACTTAAAGAAAAAAGTTGCTGTTGGGAGATTTTCTAGCAAGTTTTTGTCTTCACACCAGCAGTCTGTTAAGGGCTGTGTGTGTATATGATATGTACATATTTACATACGTTGTATGCAGAACATATTGTTAGGAGGTGTACATGACACACTGAGGTGCACAGGGTGTATAACATGACAGTACACAGTATAGAGCGTGTGTAAGACGTGTACAGACTATAGGATGGGTATAAGATGTGCAGGGTTTATCAGGTTATACAGTAGGTGTATATAGATGTGAAGGACAAAATTTCTAGGCTTAATATGGTGCATATAACTTGTATATGGTGTGTAGATAGATAGACTTAGGTAAAAGTACAAGTACAGTAATCTCCACTGCAAGTGTAAAAGACGTGTCAGCAAAATGTTCTTACTGTAATAGTGCTCTGAAGATTTTATATGACATTGTTGTATCGCTACTAATGCATCAGTACATATGTAGAATTTTATTGTTATAGTGTCATGTGATTGTATGTAAAATCTTAATGTGAAAAGTAAAAAGTATAATACCTCCCTCTGAGATGCAGCTGAGTAGAAGTGTGAAGTATATAAATTGGAAAATACTCAAGTGAAATACCTCAAAATTGTACTTTAGTACGGTAATTGAGTAAATGTATTTACATTAATGTACATTACTCTTCCACACTGACAGTGAGGGAAAGAGAGTACTTTCTTACTGCAGCAAGTTACATAAATCAATGATGTTTACCGTTGTGTAACGTCTCCAATTTCAGCTGAAAAGAGTGAAGAGTGAAATATCATGTGATGCACAAGAATAACAGGCACCAATGTTTCCGCTGAAGTCTTCCTCAGTGTGCACGCTTAGTGACAGGCCTGAAGACACGGCAGAGTTCTTGATCTGCCATGGTAGGAAAAGCACAGGTTTTACTAATAACATTAACAATGCTTCAGTTACATTCAATTAACCCAGTAAATTGTGACAGTGTGGCTGTAGCCGCATTTCCATTGCAGTTTTGCACAAAACAGAAGCGATTTTTTATTTTTTAGAAAAGTCTACAGTACACAATGGAGCTCATGAACAAGTAAAGCTGAGTTTTCTCCTCTCAAGATATCATTCCAATTAAACATGGGGACAGATCTCCAGCATCTGCTAATTGTTGGGGCGCTTGCATCCACCACAGTAGACAGCTGCAGTATTTAACTGAAGGTGACGACGGCATCTGGTGCATGTAATGACAGAAAGGTTAAACCCCTTCAATCCGACAGCGGCCACGTTTCAGGGATTTTTGGGAGATAATACACTGCAGTGCTTTCGGATGTCATGTGACCACTCATGTCATGTTATGTGACTGAAATGCGGAAAGTGTTTCAATTTCACCATTGCGAAATACAGTTTTGTTGTATAAAGTTGAGTTTTTTTCAGAACTGATCTGAAGCTAGGGATTAAGCTTTATAGAAATCTGATCATACATCACTCAATTCAGTTTGGGATTACTGAGCTGTCTCACTGTTGAGACAGCTCAGTCACCTTATGATTTACATCCAATGTCAGCATTCAGTACCAATGCAAGAAGTAGTGTGTATGTATGTAGAGAGCTGCAAAGAAAGGGTGCGTGTGGTTCGAGGTGGTGAATGGACGCCTAGTGAATCTGATTTTCTTTCGGGAAATTGGTCTTCATATCCCGTCATTAGCCATAATGACAATCTTTCCCTAGCCTTAACCAAACTGCAGATGCCATGCACAGATGAGATATGAAAAGTAAAACATTGTTATTGAGCATAAAAAAAAAAAAAATCATCATAACTGGACCTAATCCAGGGTCTTGCAGAATCGTCCAAGTCCAATATCAGTTTCCTTTCATGTTGATTGAAGAGTACTTAAATTATCAACTGCCCCTTCCACTTCACAACTCTACAGGATGTAGCCCATTCAAGCTGTAATACAAGATGCGTTTTTGGACCACAAGATGGATTCAAGATATATAAGCAGTAGACAACAGGACAAAGGGAAGTTGTAGAGACAGCTGAGGTCACTGTCACCACAATTACACACTTCAGATTTGACAAACTTGAGAGTAAGATGAAAGGTCACCTGCATCCTCACACAGGAACAGTTAATGTTCAGGTTATATTTGTAGACACGTGTATACAATATACGTGTGTGTGTGTATGTGTGTGTGTTTGTGCACACTTGACCGCTGTATTGTTCCAGCCTTACGGGATGGAAAGTCCCCCAGCCTCTTTCTCAGGTCCCGTCTGTCCAAGTGTATGAGGCATGTATGTGTAACGGTGTGGGTTGCATCCGGTAGCCAATCACATACTAGCTCTGAGGAAGCAGGAAGGAACATGCCGCAGCTGGTCGACCAATGAGAAGCCAGGGCTAGAGGAGGAGGCCCTTTCAGGAAACGACTGGCGGAGTGTCAGGGGTGCAGACCACCACCAGACTTTCGACAATACTGATTTGACTGTTCTATCCGCTTCTTTAAATCATATTTCTATCCTCCACTAATCCCGCTTTCCATTTTTTCTTCCATCTTTTCGTTCTTCCATCTCTATTCTGATTCTGTTCTTCCAAATCTTACCACTCCTCCAGTCTCAAATCTGCGACTCAATTCACTCTACCCTCGGTCCGTCCGACCGTACATCCGTCCTGCGTTGCTCCACGCGGGTTAAAAGTATGCTGGTATATTGTGTCGTGCTGCTGCCGTCATGTCCATCGACATGTCCGCTCCATCCATGAGGAAGAAGTCGTTTGCTCGGAGTTCCAAGCCAAACGTAAGGATGTGTTTTCGGGAACAAAGGGATTTCATGTAAGTTAGAACTCAGTTCTCCTTCTGCTGAGCCTGGCATGCCTTTGTGTTGTTTACTTCACCTTTTGTCTTTATGTCCACTTTGTGTTAGTTAGTAAATGGATGTAGACAAGTTGCCTGGAGGTTTTACTTATCCGCCTTGGTTTGATGACCAGTTCTAAGATCTGTTCATGGGAGTAAAGGGATTTCTGATTTCTTTATGTGGTTTCAGATATCTGGCATTTAGTTGTTTTTCCTAAGTTGGGTATAAGGTGTCTTTTGCAAAACACCTCAGTAGGAGGTTTACATCATTGCTAATGTTTGATTTGGTAAAGTTTCTTCCCCATTACGAGTGACGCAATGAGGGATTTCACGATTTCACTTTATCTTTGCCTGTTGATTCTCACGTGAAAGCTGCAAAATCAAGTTATTTTTTAATCTTTTCATGTTACACTTTTATACACATTAGAACTGTTAACCAAAATTGTTCATTTGGTGGCACCTATTTGTATCTGTATCGTAGCACCTTCCAGTTTATTGTATTGAGATCCTGTTGGGCAGTCAGGACGTCAGAAACGTGTGCATTTTCTCACAACAAGTAGCAACTGCACAGTTTTGGCCAGGTGTGAAACTTTGCTCACAGTGTATATATGTGTTGTCCATTTCAAGTTGCCTGAAAGCGCAACACCTACACTGCAGGGGCAGCAACACATACTGTACATTCAACACCCACTCACACCTATGTGCAATCAAAAGGTGTGACATGTTCAAAAACTGTAAAGTCAAGTTTACCTTAAATTACCTTTCTCACAGAAAACTTGAACAGGAGAATGGAAAAACACTTTGGCGTTAGTGCCAAGTGTGCAGGATTAATAAAATACCACTGATACAGTCTCTACTGTAACAGAGCAAAGAGCAGAATGAAGCAGAGCAACACAAACACAAACAGGGGAAGGTTTGACAGCATTAAAGCTGAATTGGGCCTGATTATAGAGGCTGAACGTGCATTATTACGCACACACACATACACATAGAGTGAAATGTCCACTGTGACTCATAAATTATTATAACACAGTATTAGATAAAGAGAGGTGACAAACTAAAGGAAAAACCTGAAAAGTTAGTGGAGAAACAGGGTGGCAGTGCCCCCGTCCGTCGGGCACGAGGGGTCACTGAATGGTTTGCTCGGTGTGAAAAGGATGTGAATCGTATGCTGTGGCCTTCATAGTCACAAGATCTCAACCCAGTTGAGCGCCTATGGGAGATTTTGGACCGTGTTAGACAGCGCTCTCCACCACCATCATAACAAACACCGCATGAGGGAATATCTATTGGAAGAATGGTCTCCATCTCTCCTGTAGAGGTCAGAGACTTGGAGAATCAATGATAAGGAGTAATGAAACTGTTCTTGCAGCGTGTGGAGGCTCAACACCTGACTAAGACACTTCATGTTGGATTTTCCTTTAATTTGTCACCAGTCTGTAGTTAATGCTGATGCAACAATGTGTAAGTAGCATTTTACTGTTGTGGATAAATATGGTGATGCAAAAAGTACAACGATAACTCCTCCAACTTAAACCACCTTATACGCCCCATGGCCACACACCAGGCATACCAGATCTTTGTTGTCATGGTTACAACAAAACAAATTGAGGTTGTGTTGGAGGGTCATGGATGAAATAAACTATATATGAGCTCAGCTTCACACAGGAAACAAACAGCGGCCTCCTGTGTGGAAGTCCTGTGTTTTGTTGACCCATCCACCCACCCCGACCTCCTCCTCACCCAGAGTTTCCTCCCCAGCTCCGGTCATAATTATGACACCTGCTAGAAGTCGCCTCACAATAAAACATAAGTGTGGGTCGTAATAAGCTGCTAGTGGAGCACAGTTCTGGGGTAGAAGTATAAAAGCAGCATGATAAGGAGATACTTAAAGTACGAGTACCTCAGAGTTAATCTTAATTATAGCACTTGAGTAGATGTACTTGTTACTTTCCACAAGTGCAGCAGTGCAACTAAGAGAAAATATTGTATCTGCTGTAGAGGAAATAACAGTTTAGTTTATCTGAGAAACCATAGAAATGTTTTTTTAATTAGATCATGCATAGAGAACACTATGAGACCAAATCATGGTGTAATGTACAAATGGGACTTGTTTCGGTCCAGTTTTCATCTGTTTTTAGTTATTTTAGACTCGAGTCCAGACAAAGTCTGATGCAGGCGACAAAAACAAATAACATCTGTTTGTTGGGTTTCTCTCCTCAGAGACAAATTGATTTGATTTTCCAGTGGAGATAAGATAGTGCTCCTGTCATGTCAGCTGTCAGTTGTTGACTGATTGATTCCTCAGCAGGGTTAGTGTCCGATTCAGAGAAGAGAAAAGGCTACATTTACAGGAAATGTCTTAAAATTTTCAGCTCTGTGTGAAAGAGAGGGGGGAGGAGGGTGGGCATATAGCCAGAGCAAAATCTCAGCACTCTTCCTCTCACGCGCCCTCTCCCCCTCTCTCTCTCTCTCTCTCTCTCTCACTCTCTCTCTCTGCCTCCTTGTGTCTCTCTCTAACTCACTATCTCTGTATTTTTGTCATCTTTGTGTGTTTTACTTCCGAAAGGAAACACAGCTACAATAAGATTTCTAAGCTTTGAAATAAGTCACAGTTGTGTGTGTGTGTGTGTGTGTGTGTGTGTGTGTGTGTGTGTGTGTGTGTGTGTGTGTGTGTGTGCATTAGTCTGAGAGGAATCCTTCCTGTAACTGTTTTGGAAGTGTGACAGCGGTACAGTTCCTGTGGAGTGGCATTGCCATATTTGGACACAGGAAGTGATGATCACGCATAGAAGCCACAGGTAGAGAAAGAGGACATGGTTTTACTATTTTAGCTTTCTATGAGCCCACTGCTGCAGCTGTGTGTGTGTGTGTGTGTGTGGCCAACACACTTCTTTCTTTGTTAATGGTTCTTGTACCTTCATCAGGTGAAATTCATTCAGTCAAATAGCACCAGCACCATACTGTACATGTATATATGTCAATCAGAAAGATTACACCAGCAGCAAAGTATTTTTTTTACACTAAATCCAAATGTACGGCAATACAGTAAACAGGAGCAGGGAGAGTCTTTTTCTCTCATATACAGCACAATAAAGATTTAGTCGCCCTGTAAACAAATAAAAACCCAGGATCAAAATCTTTCATCAAATCATCACCTGTTTTTCTCTTGTTAAGAAGCCTAAAAAGCAAAATAATAATATTAATACCTTTTCTATCTTCAAGATACTTTACATGATAAGTTCAAAATTATCCTAGAAAAATAACAGAAGTACTAAAGGCCCAAGAGTGTGACGTTAAATCAACCATTCAAAGCAGCTCTGAAAGGTGAGTTTGGTGCAGTCACAGAGAGAGCTGCACAGGGAGGGGTGGGGACAAGGCCCTGTCAGCCCAGGTCCTGTGCAGGACGGTGAGGACAGGAGAGAGTGTCAGTGGAGGAGGTCAGAGAGGGTCTGTGAGTGTAGAGAGGGAGTTTGACCTGAATCCCGTGAGAGACAGAAAGCCAGTGAAGGTTCTCATGAGGAGTGATGTGTTCGCAGGAGTGAGTGAGCAGCCCAGCAACAGAATCCTGGATCTAGTTTATTAAGGGTTTTAATTAATGATGTACCATAAAGAATGTTTAACACTAGTCAAGTCTGGCAGAGATGGAAACATGGATCAGAAATAGAAAATTACATTGAAAGTGTTGAGTTTTGTCCTGGTGTCGCCTGGTGTACTAACGTCCCGTGCAAAATTTAAACACAGAATTTTTATACATTTTTACATCTGAATTTTGGATTTAAGGTCAATGAGCTTTTCAAACTGTACAGAAACATAGCATGTTTTCAAATGTCACAGAGAGAGCCAAGTAGGTTCACCACAGGAGAAGAATTCAAGGACATTATGTTGCTAAAAACGACACAAACCAGCTAAAGCAAGATAGGTTACTGACTGGCACAGATATACCAATGAGAACAGGTGTTAAAACAGGGAAAGTGTTTAAGACAAAATCATATTAAGAAAAAAGTTAAAGAGGGCTCAGCTACAATAACATCAACAGAAATATCAAACAGGCTAAGTAGTCATAGTAGTGCTGGGAGCTTTGTGTTGCTATGGTGCGTACGAAAAGTGACCTTTTCAATACCTACACTCTACACTCTTTCACAGCTTTGTTAATCATACACCCTGAGAAAAAAAAAAAAAGTGCAGTGATAATGTGAAGCTGAACCAGTGGATGAACCGCTGTGGTCGGTCTCAGGGTTGTGGGGGGGGGGGGGGGGCAGGAAACATCCCCGTAAGTAATGCAGCACTGAGTGACAGTATCTGTTTCCTGGGCAGGACGGACGATTCTCTGCATCTGCTGTAGATGGGACAGCGGTTTACCTCTAACCTTTGCATCTGTCGGGGGGGTTTTATGTATATGTGCAGGTATCGGGGAAGCAGCGGGGGGCCTGATGATCACATCTGAATGTAAAACACACAGTGTGTTCACGGCACAGCAAGCGGTTTGGTTAGCCGCACGAATATCTGCAGCAGACACCTGGCAGCTGTTGTGCTGTTCCATCACAGGTGATGCTCTGTCACATGTACATGTGTCAGTGTGAAAATCAGTTTGGTCCATTACAGAAAATCAGTTACGCTCAATAAGAAAACAGTACAAGTGTGAAATAACATATGACAGCAGGGATTTCCAGTGCTTTTTACTTTTCGAGAGCTTTCAGCCATATCACATCGTCTTCATCTGAGTTTGCTCTGTTGTCATGGAGATGGGTCTGTTGCTTGGTGATTCTGCTCATGGTTACATGGTGTTTCAGAAATAAAGCCCATGAACTCATGGTTTTTCTAAGGAGACTTAAGTCTTCTTTACAAACCACATGACGGATAGAATCACGTTACTGTCCACAATACTGCTTTCCTCATGACTTTTACAGTTACAGTCCCTCTCTGAGTTTCTAGAAAACATGTCTACATCACAGTCAACCACTACCATGCAGTCACAG